TCTCTGGGGAAGGCTTTCCATATGAAGTGTCACTCAAACGTGTAAGTGGCCAATAGCGTGCCTTCCCCAGGATCAAGGAGAGCCGTGGGGCAATCAGAGTCTGGCAGCTCCTCCTTGCCATTAGCACTATGGAGGAACAGAGTAACCATGCATGGCAGAGGACATGGTGTGAATTAGTAACTATTTGTTGAATTTCATCTCACATAAATGGCCATTCAACCATGGGACTGTATCCCACTTTAACATTATTGATACATTTGGAAATGGAAATTGATGAAATCTTTGGTTCTGTGCACTCTTGACCTGTTATGCAAACATTTCGTCTTGTCTGACAGAGAAGATGTAACTACTGGGATACCACAAGTTTCAGTCCTTGGGCCCCAATTATTTGCAATCTATATTAATGACTTGGATGCAGGGATAGAAGGTTCAGTAGTTGGATTTGCAAATTACATTGAAATAGTTTGAAAATAAGTTCCATGAAGAAGTAAAAATTTACAAATGGATATGGATAGGTTATGTGAATTGGCCAAAATTTGGCAGATGGAGTTTAATGTGGATAAGTGTGAGGTTATCCAGTTTGGTTGGAAGAATAGAAAGAAAACTTATTATCTAAATGGAGAGAAACTTCAGGGTGCTTCGCTGCAGAGGGATCTTTATGTCCTCATGCAGAAATTGCAGAAATTTAGAATACAGGTATTAAGGAAGGCAAATGAAATGTTGATGTTTATTGCTAAACAAATAGAATATAAAAGTAGGAAATGTTACTGCAATTTTACAGACATACGTGAGATTGCATTTGGAATATTGTGTACAATTTTGGCCCCCTTAAGAGGGGATGTATTTACATTGGAGGCAGTTCTAATTGAGTAATATAAGATGCTAATAGGGATTGACAAAGTAATCATAGAATGGATATTTTCCCTTGTGAGCAATCTAGAATGAGAGGTCGTAGCTTTAGGATGAGGGGTAGCAGATTTAAAACAGAGATGAGAAGGAATGACTTCTCTCAAAGGGTTGTGAGTTTGTGGAATTCACTACCCCAGGGTGTGATGGTTGCTGGGACATTGAGTAAATTTAAGGAGGAGTTACAGATTTTTAATTAGTAATGTGTTGAAGGGTTATGGAGAGCAGGCAGGAAAGTGGAGTTGAGGATGAAATGAGATCATTCATGATCATATTACATCTCGAGGAACTGAATTGCCTACTCCTGCTCCTAGTTCTTATGTTCCTGTGATCTTATGTTTTTAAAGTCCTTCACCTGCTGCACTATACTACAGCTAGGCAGCCTTTCAGATTTCCTCCCATTCTTTTGTGGTTGGATTGCTGGCCCAGCTTTGATCTACCTTAACCTGCAACTGTAGCATGGTGTTGCCATTGGTCTTCACTTCAGGTGCTCTGTTCTGCTTGCTTCTATTTCCAGGAGTCTGTTCACCGTTGCCGCCATGTAGTAATATTCAGATAAGTGAACATTATGATGCCATGTTGAATGTAATTATTAGTATTATAGTAAAAGAGGGCATCTCTGGAACATAAACAACCCAATCTTTAGCCTGGTCTCGCATATCGCCCACTCTACAACTACCATCAAGCCAAGAGATCAGTTTGTATCAATGAAATCTATTTCACACCTGGCACAAAGGAAGACAGTTGCGTGGTTGAGATCAATCATCTCAGCACACCAAGCACATTTCTAGAAGAGTTCCTCAGGATAGTGTCCTAAACCCAACCGTTTTCCCTCAATCATAATGTCAGAAGGGAATGTTTGCAAATAACTGCACATTGTTCAACATCATTCACATCTTCTAAGATTACTAAAGCAGTTGGTATCCAAATACAGCAAAAGAACTGGACAGTATCCAGGCTCGGGCTGTTAAGTAGACAGCAGCATTTGTGCCACACAGTTGCCAGGAAATGACCATCATAATCAAGACAGAATCTAAGCAATATCCATTTACATTCAATGACATTGCCTTTGTTAAATTTCCCCATTATCAACAGTCTGGGTGTTACCATTGACCAGAAACTGAATTGGACGACAAATATAAATATTGTGGCTACAACAGCAGGTCAAGGGCTAGGAATCCTATAGTGAGTAACTCACACCTTGTCTTCCAGTGCCTGTCCACCATTTACAAGCCACAAGTAGAGGGTGATGGAATTCTTTCCCTTTGCCTGGTTGATTGAGGCTCCAACATCCTTCAGGAGGTTTGACACCCTCCAGGGTAAAGTAGCCAATCCACCACCTTCAACATTCACTCTGTTCACCACTGATGGACAGTGGCAGCAGTATGTGCCACCTACAAGATGCGCTGTAGTAACACACCAAGGATCTGTCAACAATATCATCTGAACCCACCCATGGATTTGTGAGGGGTAGATCATGCCTCACAAACCTTATTGAATTCTTTGAAGAGGTGACCAAAGAGGTGGATGAAGGTAGAGCAGTTGATGTGGTATACATGGATTTAAGTAAGGCGTTTGATAAGGTTCCCCGTGGTAGGCTCATGCAGAAGGTAAGGAGGCATGGGATAGGGGGAAATGTGGCAGATTGGATTCAGAATTGGCTGACCCTTAGAAGACAAAGGGTGGTAGTGGATGGAAAATATTCAACATGGTGCTCAGTTACGAGTGGTATATTACAAGGATCTGTTCTGGGTCCTCTTCTATTTGTGGTTTTTGTAAATGATTTGGATGAAGGAGTGGAAGGGTGGATTAGTAAGTTCGCAGATGATACGAAGATGGGTCGAGTTGTGGATAGTGCGGAGGGTTGTTCTAGGTTACAAAGGGACATTGATAGGATGCACAGCTAGGCTGAGAAGTGGTAGATGGAGTTTAACCCTGAAAAGTATGAGGTGATTCATTTTGGAAGGACAAACTTGAAAGCAGAATACAGGGTTAACGGAAAGATTCTTGGCAGTGTGGAGGAGCAGAGGGATCTTGGGGTTCATGTCCACAGTTCCCTGAAAACTGCCACCCAGGTGGATAGATTTGTTAAGAAAGCGTATGGTGTGTTAGCTTCCATTAGTAGAGGGATTGAGTTCAAGAGCCATGAAGTTATGCTCCAGCTATACAAAACCCTGGTTTGGCCATATCTAGAGTATTGTGTCCAGTTCTGGTCACCTCATTACAGGAAAGATGTAGAAGCGTTGGAAAAGGTGCAAAGGAGATTTACCAGGATGTTGCCTGGAGTGGAGGGAAGGTCTTATGAGGAAAGGTTGAGAGAGCTAGGGCTTTTCTCTTTAGAACAATGAAGGATGAGAGGTGACTTGATAGAGGCGTACAAAATGATCAGAGGTATAGATAGAGTGGACAGCCAGAGACTTTTTCCTAGGGTGGAGGTAGCTATTACGAGGGGGCATAGTTTTAAAGTGAGTGGAGGTAGATATAGGGGAGACGTCAGAGGTAGGTTCTTTACTCAGAGAGTGGTAGAGGCGTGGAATGCGTTGCCGGAGAGGGTAGTGGAGGCAGCCTCATTAGAGGCACTTAAGTGGCTATTAGATAGGCATATGGATGATAGTATAAGGTAGGGCTGGAGGTTAGATCGACCTTAGGATTAGGGTAGAGGTTCGGCACAACATCGTGGGCCGAAGGGCCTGTACTGTGGAGTACTGTTCTATGTTCTATGTTCTAGAGGGACAAAGGCAACAGAAGCATGGGAACACCACCAAATGCAAATTCCCCACAAGTCACGGACCATCCTGAATTTGGAAATATATTACCATTCCTTCATTGGTGCTGGGTTAACATGCTGGAACTCACTAATTAATGGTACTACAGGTCTCCCATATGCCAAGGACTGCACTGACTCAGGAAGGCAAATCACCACCACCTTCCCATTAGCAATTAGGGATAGGCAATAAAGGCTAGTCCAGACTGCAATACCCACATCCCACAAACAGATGAAAAAGAACATCTTTTGCTATGCAAGTGTTTACACTGTGTACTTTAAAGAAGTTTCCGTATCAAAGCAAATAGACTTGCATTTGTATTACAGCTCGTCTGACCTTAGGAGATCCTAATGCACTTACTGACAATCAAATTATTTTGAACTATGTCATTGTCATATTGAAGGAAATCCGGCAGCAAATTTGCACACAGCCAAGTCTCTTAGACAACAATGAGATTATGACCTGATAATTTGTTTTCACAATGTGATTAAAGGATAAGTATTGATCAGGATTCCTTGTTCTTCTTCAAAATATTGCAATGGAATATTTTATGTCGATTTGAGATGCCAAAGAATGGCCCTCCAACAGGCTGCATGCAGTGAGATCATGTCTGTGTTATTGCTTGAGGCAAATCCACTCCCATGTCAATGAACAACAAAAGATTCCAGTTGCATGTGATCTTACGTCAGCCTGCCACAGTTCCTTACACACGTGCTCGATAGCTAATATTAGAGTAAAGGTATAGTTAACTCTTTACTCCACACAGCACTCCCTCAGTATTGCAGTGATTTGGCAGCTATGTTTTATGTTCAAATCTCTGAACAAACACACACACGATTTCTGATTGAGGGGAAAAGTGCTACGACTGAATGATGCCTAACATCAAGATCTGAATTTTGACAGACCGCAGCACTTCATGAATTCAGTTCCTATTCTGAGCCATTCTCAGGATTGGAGATGTTCTCATTTATGAATCCGACAATCTCTTGATCCAATTTGCAATTCAGTGTCTGCTGAAAACATTTGTTTCTGCATGACCATGATAGATTCCCTTGCTATTTTGAAAAGTTTGAAATAGCTAAACAGATTGACTTTTCCCAATTCGTGGTGTAATAAGTAGTTGGTACATTTAGTACTGCCACAAACGGGTTAAAGCAATCAAAGGCTTAAACAAGCAATTCCTCTCTCTCTGCAGCTGCTGCCTGTTCCACTGAGAGTTTTCAATATCCTCGTATGTTTTTATTTCTTGAGGTAAACTCCAATTTTCAGTTTCAATGTGTGATTGTGATATTATCAATAGATCATAAAATGGAACTTTCCTCTTTGTAGTCATGTCCCTTGATAATGCTTGATGAACTGCAACAAGAGTGATGGCTGACCATGTCGGCAGATTCTGTTAAGGGGATAAATCCGTAGCAACAGTCACCTGAAAGCAAATTGAAAAATGATCAGCTTGTGCCTGCAGTCCATCACCGTGGCAACAGTCGTCTTTCTGTTGCTTACAACAGCAGGTAGGAAGCTTAATGTGATACATGAACACGTGGTGATTTTTATAAATGTTGAAATGAGTCATCAAATGGAAGGACAGGTGGAAGAGAAAGAGGAGGGAGCTTCAATAGAACAATAAATTATAACATCTGCAAAATCTTTGAATTTCCATAACCAACCAAGAAAGGGTTAACCTAATTTTTAATTGTTGAACATAAAGGGTGGTGGATGGATGGATGAGGGAATAGGCTGTGATATTTAAGTATTAACTCCATTTGAGGACAATAGCATTTTAAAGATATATATTTTTTTAAAAAATGGTATTAACAAGTTATTGCTAAAACAAAAAGCATAGAAAATCTGACACCCCAGGAGCATTATACCCTGGGCTGGAGGACAAGCTAATGTCTGCATTTCTGGAGAGGTGGAGGACTGTCCTTTGCTCCACATTGAGGAAGGGAAGGTCACCAAGGATCACTGAAGGTCCTAGTGACGGAAGTGCAGAGGGGGACAGAAACCCTGTAACTGCAGTTGGAAAGATGCCATCACATCCCTTCAGCCATAATGCTGTAGAGTCTTTAATATGTACGAGTAAGTATTTTAAGTCGAAATCAGATTCAGAATGAGCTGATAGGAGGCCATTCCCAACATAGATTTCACTTCCTTTATTAAGGTGATTTCTTGTGCTAAACACAGGTTAAGCTGACTATTTAAGTTCAAGGCTCCATTTGGCCATTGCTAATGCCTTGGCACACTGCTGAAGATAGTCCCCCAGCCTTTTTTTTAACAACAGATTATCAATAATATTGCTCAAATCATTTAGCTTTCATGGAGTCAGCAGCATGAAGCAGTGATGCTGTCTGATCTGAGGAAGTGCAATTAAATCATTGTCTCACCTTGAGGAAGACCTTGGACCAACTGTCCCTATATAATTGTGAGGAATGAACAGATGTTGCACATATTAATATCTGTAATATGACAGTGAAGGACAGCTAGTGTTGAGGTGATTGATGGAAGAAAGAACAAGTATATCATTAAGTGAATAATTTCTGAAACGTGGAGGTGGTAGGATTATGTTGCACTGCTGGAGATGACAGAAAGTGAAGGAATAAATATGTAGGTCAGTGGGTAAGTAGGTGACAACAAACAGGCCCTCACAGGCCTGAACATGATAAACAATTTACTATTGTCCCAGTGATCGAAAGGAAATAGTTTCATAGGAAACTGTTGAGGAAAGTCAAGCTGAATAATAACCACAAAATATTTTTGAGAATTTAGTATCACCTTAACAGGCATCTAACTCCATTCAGTTTTTTTTTGCTTTCTTTAAACAGTAACCTCAGCACATTTCCGTGTTTGTGAGCCTTACGCAGATGTCAAAGGGCGCTACCACTTTGGCTTTCATTGTCCTCGTCTTTCAGACAGCAAAAGCTACATGTTGTGTTGTCATCACAACAGCACGACCTTTAAGTACTGCTGCAATGAGACCGAATTTCAGGCAGTTATGCAGCTGAACATGACGGGACAGGCAGAGGGCTACATGCACAAGTAAGTATTGCAGTTCCTGCATTCAGCGAATTTGATTAGATTCTGATTAAAATACATGAAATATCAGAGAAAGAACCGTACATTTTTTGTTACATGCAGGAGGTGAAGTACAAAACATGGGATGTGTGTGGAAAATCAATGCAGCCGCAAAACATGAGTCAAAAGGAGACAAACAGGGGGTTGGAAGAACACAGCAAGTCAGGCAGCATCTGGAGGAAATGAGCAGTCAATGTTTTGGGTATTTTCCTCCAGTAGCTGCCTGGCTTGCTGTGTTCTTCCAGCCTCCTGTTTGTCTTCCTGTATTCCAGCACCTGCAAATTTTTTGTCTGTATGAGTCAAAAGGAGCTGGTTAGTTTCTGAAGAAGGGTCCAGACCCGAAACGTCAGCTTTTCTGCTCCTCTGATGCTGCTTGGCCTGTTGTGTTCATCCAATTCTGCACCTTGTTATCTCAGATTCTCCAGCATCGGCAGTTCCTACTATCTCCGGTTAGTGGTGATCTGGGTTGGCCTGGGCTTGGAAAAGAACAAAGGCCATTATTAAAAGGTGTAATCTAATAAACACCTCTCCCCACAACAGCAATTCAAATTTAGATTTCATTGTTATATCATTCTTCAAAAAATTTGATTTAAGAGATTTGATCCCTGGTCTTTATTGATATCAGTTTCGTACCAGGAAGGGTACTTTTGCATTTTAACAGCTAATATTGGGGAAAAAAAGCCATCTTTTCCATTCACAATTCAATATTCCTTATTTGAAAGTAATGTTATATTAAAGGCAGACCAACTCTATTGTGATAATTGCCTCAGTATTGAATTAGTTAACACACGTGTGAAGAATGGGTGGTTGGATAACAGCTGCTGGTGCCTGGGGAACCATATTCCAGCATGAGCTGCAGTCTTCAGCAGAGAATATTGATCCAACTTTTGACAAATTGGGAATTATTTCCAGTTAAGTGTACATAAAAATAATTGAATTAACCTTTTTTTACACATCCAAGTACATAAGAGAAACATGTAACAGGATACCAATTTTTTCTTCAAATTATTCCCAATTTAAAACAAAATTGGCAGATCTGTTTTTGTTTCAAAAGTTTAAAATTCTAAATATATTCATCTTAAGGTTCACTGTAAAGTTTATTTTGTCTTCCCTGCTCTCTAAAGATCTTTCCACTGATGATAATTTGGGTCGAATCTGAGTTACTGTTTTCCATTTTCATTATTTAACACATAACAAAGTTCTAAAGAAAATAAATGATATTTTACCAAGCAAATTAAATGTAATTTTCAGGATTATAATAAAGATGTCCATTACCTGTCTGGATTTTAAAAGTGTGCCATTAGAGTTACGTACCAAACTGTAATTTCTTTTTTAAGATTTTGTTTTTCAAATGCAATGCTATGTGGTCTGACAACGGACTTGCTCACTCGCTCACTTGCTCAAAAATATGAATTGGAAAATCATGATGTGTACTCACTGAAATGAAGTTGAAGTAATTTGGAACTTTAAGTGGTGTTTAAAGACCTCTTTTGGTGATAATAGTGTATAATTTTTCAAATGAGGTTTTTTTTCTTAAAGACAGTTCTGAAGTTTAAAGCAGTTTTTAAGTTTAAGATCCTTTTGCCTAATCTTACCTCATGCCTCTCTGAGGCCTATATAGCTACAACGGCACAATAACATGCCAAGGATCAGACATCTAAGGTATGAAATAACCTCTCTGTGACTGAATTGAATGTTCATAATAGGACTGACAGGCACTGAGCTTTCCTTGTTTCTTACTTACCACTCTCCTGACTGTAGAATGTTGTCAATTGCACTCTTAACAAGTGCTCTGGGATTAAAAGGTTAAATGTCGCATTTCTGTGAAATACCTTTCAAATGGTTTGGTTGAACAGTGATGTCATGAGCTTTCTTATTGTATTTACTTAATGTACTGATTTGCAAGATGTTTGTATCTGAGAGGTAAGGCAAGTATTCAGGTTAATTTAACATTCAGATTAGTGTTCTCATATTTTTCTTTTCCCATTGCCAGCGAGTATTCAGCAAACATTGTCAGGAACATGAGTGAATATCCCAGTTAGAGTGAATTTCTTCTGCTAAGCAAAAAGAGAAGTTGTGAATGTATTCCATCAGAAGCATTGAGAACTTGAAATCATCCTAAGGAAAATAGCGAGTCTATTTGGAATGTCTCTGAGTGGTAGAGGACAAGCACGAAGGGAGATGAAGAGGTTTCTTTTTTATTCAGAGATAGTAAGGACTGCCAATGCTGGAGTCAGAGATAGGCTTCGCAGTGGGGTTATAACTCACTCAGGGATAGAGATATCCCTGATCTAAAAGAGTGCTGGTAGCAGATTCAGAAATACTTAGAAAGGAGCAATTTGCAGCTATATGCACAGACACTCATATGAATACTCAATAAGTTGGAGACAAACCATTATATATAATCCCTTGGACAATGTGACTTTTGCTGATGAAGGGATTCCTGGTTATGATTTAATCAAGCTACAATTGGGATATACTGGCCATGACCTTATGGGCATCCTGGGCAGTTGGAGAGTGAATATCATTTGACAATCCATCCTGTTTGTTTATTGTAATCATTTACTTTCTCTTCAGATCAGGGCAAGTAGCAAAAGGAACAAAATCCTTCCTATCCCGTGTCTGTGTGGGTTTCCTCCGGGTGCTCCAGTTTCCTGCCACAGTCCAAAGATGTGCAGGTTAGGTGGATTGGCCGTGCTAAATTGCCCATAGTGTTCAGGGATGTGTAGATTAGGTGGGTTATAGGAGGATGGGTCTGGGTGGGATGCTCTGAGGTTCGGTGTGGACTTGTTGGGCCGAAGGGCCTGTTTCCACACTGTAGGGATTCTTTGATTCTATGATTCTATCCTTCTCTCAAACTAGCTAGTAAATTGTTTGAACTGTGTAAAGACCCTTTTTTGGCATTGTGGATTGAAAGTGGGGAAAAGATATTGCTTTCACTCCTTACACTCCCTACAATGTAGAAACAGGCCCTTCGGCCCAACAAGTCCACACTGACTCTCACAGCATCCCACCCAGACCCATCCCCCTACAACCCACCTAATCTACACATCTCTGAACACTATGAGCAATTTAACATGGCCAATCCACCTAGCCTGCACACTTTTGGACAGTAGGAAACTGTATAAGAAGATGTGTGCAAATTAAAAGCAAGTTACTGGACAACATTATGAGTTGTCTATACAATGTTGCCTTGTTGGAGCAGTGAAGGAGAAGCTCATACAAATCAGCATGACCTGTGTGTGTTCAGGGAAGCTCTTCAAAGAGTTAGTCTTTTGTTTGGCTTTTCAATTGACACCATTTGTTGTGTGCGCAGGAGAACTGAGCACAGTCACAAATTCTGACTGGAACAACTGCAGTTTCACACAGCCCCCGTGGGTGGGAATGAAAACAGAAGAAGTCAGAAGCCACAGAAGGTTGTAGCATCAATACCTTTCACTTTCCATTCCTTCGCTCTGGAAAAACTCTTCATCTGGCTCTCTGTCAAAAAAGTAGGGAAAAGCTACTGAAAGAAAGAATACTAGCGTCCACAGATAAAGAAAGACCCCTGGATGCAACAAAGCAGCCAGTGAAATTAAAGAATAATTATTGATGTGCAAATCACATCAAGATATCATGGAAGAAAGAAAAAGGATTGTGGAATCAATCAATCTAGTTTTAGATTTTAAACTGCTGATATAGAACTGTGTTCCTCTAAGTATTAATTCCCCCTCCACTCATAATGGGTGTGTTCATCTGTTTTTCTTTATGCGTGTGTGTATGTGCAGGGGTGAGTTAAGAGTGGTAAAATTTAAATTGTAGAAAGTAGAAATCCTGGCATTTTACTGTTCTTGCTTAAATTATATAGTTCTAGATTACAAATTCATCTGACTCGCCTTTTTGCCATTGATTATAAAAAGAGTTTGCTAACAATAAATGATAGAATCCCTACAGTGTGGAAGCAGGCCATTCAACCCATAAGTCCACTTTAACTCTCTGAAGAGCATCTAACCCACCTCCTTCACTGTAACCCTATATTTCCCATGGCTAATCCACCTAAATCTGGACACTATGTACAATTTAGCATGGTCAATCCACTTAACCTGCACATTTTTGGACTGTGGGAGGAAACTAGAGCACCCGGAGGAAACCCATGCAGGAACAAGGAGAATGTGCAAACGCCACACAGACAGTTGCCCAACAGTGGAATTGAACTCAAATCCCTAGCATTGTGAGACAGCAATGCTATCCAGTGAGCCACCATGCGTAGTTAATAACAATATTTAATGATAAAAAAAACTGGCATGTTAATTCTTATAACCTGAATTAGACAGCTGGGTAGAATTGGGTGATTTGATGGTTTAATCAAATTTTCACATTTGTGACATCTCTGGGACTAGCAAGCCTTGATTTATGACATGCAAGCTGTTGATAACCGTGTCTGCTGACTGGGTTTCCAGGTGCCGCAGACCGAGTTTTTCGAAGGAAATCAACACATTTGTCTCCAGAAAAACAGATAAGTCACCCTCTGCATCTTTAAACCAACTCACTGTCAGAAGCAACAGATAACCGAAAGATAGCAGGAGGACTGCTAAATTCATTCTGAAGCCAGCTAAGCCATCATCCTCCACAAACTATATACCCCTTTTAATTCTATTGGATTCTAAATTGCTTAATCTATCCTTCTCCACTCTGTAATTTATTCATGTGTGTGTGAAACTTGCATGTATTTAATTTTTTTACAAAGTCCAGGTTATGTCCAATATGATCTATTCTCATAATTATTATAACTCCAGAAAACCTGTTTGATCCATTTTTTTATGATCACAGCACATATACATTGAAGCACTCCCTGCATTGGCATGAATATCCATTTTAACAAAATCTTAATCTGGTCAAACAAGGAAAGGGGAAAGCAGGAACCTAATGGACTCCTCCTAATTCAATTTCAACAGTACAAACTTCTATAGCAAAACTGCATTAGTTACAGAAATTAGGGGCAAGAGTCGTAAGCTGTGAAATACTTGCTGGAAGAGTTCAATGTCAAAGACATTACAACTTTACCAATTTCTTTAAAGATGGCAAAATTCCCTCTAAAACAACATCGACCAGCTACTTACAAAAACATACACAGGTGACATTTTAGGGCATCCAAGCGTACCAATTGTTTTCTTTGGCAAATGGATGTTTTTAAACAATGTCACAAGTAACTTGTTTTTCTGCAGACTGTTCCCCAGCCCCAATATATGCGGCATAACATCTAAATCGACTGTAATAATAGTTGAAAAGAATCAGGTGGCCACTACATAAGGAGCAAGGGGAAGTACACAGAGTCCAAATGGGGAACTGAAACAACAATGAAAGCAATGGATGGAGGTGACAAAGCAAAGGGAAATGGGTAGAAAATTCCAGAAGAATAAAGTGTCGAGATTGTGCAAGTCCTTGCAGGCAGCAAAGTTGAGGAACGGATCAATCAGTTGTAAAAAGCATCCATTTTTCTATCAGCAGGAGATCATTGTACAGATGGGCAATACACTCACAAAGAAACCTATTGGTTCTGTGATGTTGATTTTATCATGAATATCTCAGCCGGTTAGTGACAATAGTGGATGAGTGCTTTACTGAACACTTTGAATTGTGGCTTTGCGGTGATCAATGGAAATGAGATGAAGATGACTAAGGAAATCACTGGTCACTGTTACTGAACACTTGGTTTAATTCATGGAGTTTAGATTGTGACCTTTGTGCTTACACAAGTGCTGAAATCAGCAGTGCTGGGGTTTCACAAGATGTCTAAGGAAGATTGAGTTCTGTAACTGCTCAATCATACTCACATCTTGTCAGACAAATAAATTATTTTCCGATTTCCCACAAGGAAACCTGCTGTTGTTTTCTCACTTGAAAAAGGAAGCCACCTCGAAGAGAAATATCAACCCTCAATTAGGTCCTTATCCTTTCTTAGTACAGTTGATTTAAATGGAAGACACTTGTCAGGAATTGGTGATGTAGTGGTTTACAATACTTTCTCTTTCCCCAAACAGCGTTTAATAAACTCAACAGTTTTAACCATACCTTTCCATCTGAAATCTGACGGGTAAATAATTGAAATTAACATGTTTATCTACCCAAAGTCAATAGATTCTTTTTAGCAAATGTACAATGCCAATGATGTAATTAAAGCCTGACACCTTTTTTTTACCAAATGGGAAACTGCAACTGAGGCTGAGGACCAGAGGCATCCGGCCCCGATTCCAACCCTGTCTGCTGAGATAGATCTAGCCACGGTCCTACGGATGACAGAGCCTCAAACTCAACAAAGACAGCACCACATATATCTGGCCCGCGGCAGACTGTCATCAGAGAATGAGGCAGCATGTTAGCACTGGTGTTGGTGGTGAGGTAAAGGGAGCTGGGGATGGTACACAGGAGAGGCATTTGGAATGGAGTTCCCATCTCCACGTCTCCTTTCATGATCATTGCTCTCCTGAGTCAGCACTATGTCACACTGACGCACTCCGCTGCAGACCAGCTTAGTGAAAATCAGTGGCACTATGTAAGGTCACAGGTAAAGTACCTGTAAACTAGTTTAAGGTGGCAGACATGTCGACATTCCAATTCTGCATGGCTGTGCTGACGACCTGTATGGGAACATTTATGAGCATTCCTTGAAGCTCCATGATAGTTGTCATCTCTCTACAACAGTCACTCTCTCAATTCCCTCCTTCGTTAATCCAATAGCAGTCATGTTGGATTACTGCATGCTATCTGTTATTATGGAGCATCTGTGTGGCACTTCTTGCAGTCCTTGGCTAAGCTGCTGATGTGTTCACAAGTGTTTTCCCTCTTAGCACAAGCTTCCCTGGATTCAGCATCTGTACCCAGTTGATCAGAGCTCAGACAGGGTTGAGCCTCATGTTGCAAACTTTCCATAGCCATCTCTGCTCCCAGCGCAATCTTGTGCTCACTTGTGAATTGGACTAACTGTCCAGGTGAACCCAGCAATCTGCGACTATCTGTGTTTGTGCACTGTTAAATGTCCTGTGACTGTGTACTCTCAGAAGGAATGAGTTTCTCTGTAGAATTATCATCAGGAATTATCATCATGGATGTCCTGCAGCAATTGCTGTATTTATGAAGACCCTGGAAGACAAAAGAATACGATTTGATCAGTCCAAGGTCTTGTGTGTATTGGAAGTATATGTAACCTTGTACCCAACTATTTGTCTCCCCCATTTCTGACAGAGAGGGATATAGATATCCCACTTATCTCCAGGATAGCCTTCTCCAGGTCTATGAACTTGACTATTTGTGGTGGTGCACCTCCAGCCTCTTACAAGAGATGATATAAAAGAGCCTTGAGTGAATAAAGGTGAAGACGTCACTGATGGATAAAGTGCATTCAGTAGGAACGACCACGAAGCAAATGCATCAAACTGTAGACCAGTTGCAGTGTTTGTTAACAGTGGATTATTAGATGGGGAAGTGATGAGGTGAATGGAGAATGTAGAGAGCTGCTGCAAGGCAGGGTGAGGGTGGACATGGTGAGGAGACATGGCAAAACAATGTGAAATGGGTGAAACATAAATTTTCATGCTTAGGTAGATCAACAAATATCCACATTTCCTGATTTGCTCAGGTCATGAATATTCCTGGTGTTGTTCATTGCATTTAAATTACATTGTTACCATCATCCTCACTTGATTATATTTTTGTTTCAGTAACTACAGTGCACTGATTGGAGTATGGATTTATGGATTTTTTGTCCTAATCCTGCTTGTACTGGACCTTCTCTACTACTCTGCCATGAATTATGAGATCTGTCAATTTTACTTGTCTAAGTGGGGAATCCGAGGCAGCTGGCTGAAGCAGGATGAGGGCCAGTGGAACAGTTCTTCTCAGGCCCAGGCCCCGGCCCCGGCCCCGGCCCCGGCCCAGGCCCAGGCCCAGGCCCCGGCCCACCCCCAGTCCCAGTCTCAAGCTCCAGCTTCATCACCATTGCGTTTGCAGACGTTGAAGTCGGATGCTCCCAGTCCAGTCTTGATGTCTTTTCAAAGTTCAACTGCATGGTGAGTAAACATTGTTTCTGTGTTTTACTTTTGGCAAACAGCCCTTTTCTAATGTCCTGCTGTATTATAAATTCTTAAGGATTTGGGAAAATTGTGAATTTCATTCCCTAGAAGGATAGGACAGCTCCTCTTTCCCTTTTTTTTAGCTAACTTCCCTCAAGTACCTACTTTTAAAAAATGAACAGCAATAAATCAAATCTCCCAATGTAAATCTTGATGGAAATCACCTGCCAATAATCCATTAATCTGGCACCAAATTAAGTCAATGAAGCATTGATTTGTTTTAAACGGAGCAACTTTAAATCAAACACAATTAGGGAGGCAGCTGAATATTTGTGAACCAGATAAACGCAGGGATTCGGGGAAAAAGAGAAGCTTTTGTTTGAACAGCAGTAAAATATCATTTTGGATATGTCCATACCAAAGGTGACAGGGATTGTGATCAGATTTGATTTTAAAGCTGAGTGACTCTTTTCAAACAATTCAGGATCATTGAGTAAAGAGTTTATATCTCATTAGGCTGCCTCAAGCTGGAGTTACCATTTTGCCTGGAGACACACTCACTTCTTAATCACAAGGCGTTCAAAAACTTGTGAGCACATGTCTTCCATTAACATTTTGGTGCGGCACTCACAACGTGACCCATTGTCTGAAGTATCATCTTTCCCACGCAGCATTCGCACTCCAGCTGGCAAAGATTTTCCTCATTCGATCAAGATCCAGATGCAGAGTCAAACGCACAACCTAATGCCACACTATGTCACAAGTAGGACTCCAACAGTGAGTTTACTTAGACTGATTAAATAATGACTAGAGGACACACCCACCATCCTTGACAGACTCTCTAAGCTTGGGAAGACCAATAACAGGTTCAGCCAGCTGCTATTGCAGGCAAGGGGGACAAACCTCTAAAATGCGTTTGCAACTTTTGATAACAAAAGTGGCCACAGCCGTTCTCTAGTGGGGACACACAGAAAGGTGGTCTCAAAATCAGCCTGGAAAATAGAGGTTACAGGGAAAGGGCAGGAAAGTGGACATGAGGAGTGTCAGATGAGCTATGATCCAATTGAATGGTGGAGCAGGTTCAGGGGGGCAAACGGTCTATTCCTGTTCCTATTTCCTGTGGTCTAGCATAAGCCTCCAGGACTGCCACAATGAGGCTACCTCCAGGCAGATGGGCAAGCAGTCATTCTGCCCCTAATCCGACCCCAAGGAAATGCTCTGGAAGGGGAACAGTGGCAGCAAACTAGCATTCCAGTGGGTTCATGGTCCAGTGAAAAGCAGGAGGCCTCTGTCAGATAGAGGCTGGTATACCAGACACCATACAGAGTACCACCCATGACAGTAGATTTAATAACAATGCTAGAATTGGAGCTGAGAGAATGGAGAACAGCAAGTTTGAACAAGTTGGGGTTAGCAGAGAAGTTGAGGTCATGTTTGCCACGCTGGGAGTTCCCAGTGAAAACAACATGAGAAGTTAAGAGGCCAGAGGGAGCCAAACAATCCAGGTGGGGGCAAAATACTGGAAATGGGTGAAAGGACCTGTGTATTAGGGGAAGGATTCCTAGCCATGGAAGTGGGTGTGAAGATGAAGGCATTGGAAGAAGAGCTCAGGCTCAAGTCCTGGGGGGGTGGGTGTAAGGAATTGAAACTAAGGCCTTTGCTAAAGGCAGACCCTTTAGGGTCAGAGATGGGAAGGTCAGAGGGCATATGGCATGGCATGAGATTTTGAAAGATTATGGGATGAGAGAAAAGTGAAGGGCAAGAAGAATCCAGCAGAATGTTTGTACCCCATGAGTTATTGAAGCTTCACACCTGAAAAGAGAAAAAGAATTTTGTTAAAATGTAGGATGCGGTGGAGGATGAAGTAAAACATTGGACTGGGACAGCTTTGGGACAGTGTGAGTTGGAGCTGCCGAAGAGAGACAGAGATCAAGAACATACATGTGGTTATGCATGATGTTGAGTGTGGATCCCAGAAGAACAGTAATTCAAGGAATTCTGAATGTCTAGGAAGTATGTGTAATGGTGGGAGGATCCAGAGTGGAGTTTTGATCACAAGACTTGTGAAATAAAGCAGAGTCAGAGACATATGCTAAAGAAGGAGACGTGGCTGTGAAAGTGAGGTTGGTAGATTTCTGACCAAACATGAGAAGGAGAAATCAATGAAGTCGAAACAAACAGAAATTCTGTCAAAGAGAAGAGAAAAACTGCTTCAAGGTGGGCATTCCTAGAAGATAAATGGCAGTGAATTAAGCAGTAAAACAAGTTGTATACTGGAAATTAGCGGAAATATTTAGGAGATATGACAGCAGCCGTAGAGAGAGAAATCAAGTTCATCTTTCAGGTCGACAAGGTGCAGGGCTGGATGAACACAGCAGGCCAAGCAGCATCATAGGAGCAGAAAGGCTGACGTTTCGGGTCTAGACCCTTCATCAGAAAAGGGGGAGGGGAAGGGCGTTCTGAAATAAATAGGGAGAGAGTGGGAGGCGGATAGAAGATGGATAGAGGAGAGGATACAAACAGGTCGAAGAGGCGGGGATGGGTGTAGGCGGGGAGTTAGGGAGGGGATAGGTCAGTCCAGGGAGGATGGACAGGTCAAGGGGGCGGGATGAGGTTAGTCAGTAGGAGATGGGGGTGCGGCTTGAGGTGGGAGGAGGGGATAGGTGGGAGGAAGAACAGATTAGGGAGGCGGGGACGAGTTTTGGGATGCGGTCAGGGGAGGGGAGATTTTGAAGCTTGTGAAATCCACATTGATACCATTGGGCTGCAGGGTTCCCAAGCGGAATATGAGTTGCTGTTCCTGCAACCTTTGGGTGGCATCGTTGTGGCACTGCAGGAGGCCCAGGATGGACATGTCGTCTGAGGAATGGGAGGGGGAGTTGAAATGGTTCGCGACTGGGAGGTGCAGTTGTTTATTGCGAACCGAGCATAGGTGTTCTGCAAAGCGGTCCCCGAGCCTCCGCTTGGTTTCCCCGATGTAGAGGAAGCCACATGGGTACAGCGGATGCAGTATACCACATTGGCAGATGTGCAGGTGAACATCTGCTTGATATGGAATGTCTTCTTGGGGCCTGGGATGGGGGTGAGAGAGGAGATATGGGGGCAGGTGTAGCACTTCCATCGGTTGCAGGGAAAAGTGCCGGGTGCGGTGGGGCTGGAGGGGAGTGTGGAGCGGACAAGGGAGTCACGGTAAGAGTGGTCCCTCCGGAAAGCAGATAAGGGTGGGGAGGGAAAGATGTCTTTGGTGGTGGGGTCGGATTGCAGATGGCGGAAGTGTCTGGGATTTCAACTCCCCCTCCCATTCCTCAGACGACATGTCCATCCTGGGCCTCCTGCAGTGCCACAACGATGCCACCCGAAGGTTGCAGGAACAGCAACTCATATTCCACTTGGGAACCCTGCAGCCCAATGGTATCAATGTGGATTTCACAAGCTTCAAAATCTCCCCTCCCCCTACCGCATCCCAAAACCAGTCCAGTTCATCCCCGCCTCCCTGACCTGTTCTTCCTCCCATCTATCCCTTCCTCCCACCTCAAGCCACACCCCCATCTCCTACCGACTAACCTCATCCCGCCCCCTTGACCTGTCCGTCCTCCCTGGACTGACCTATCCCCTCCCTAACTCCCCACCTACACTCAGCTTTACTGGCTCCACCCCCGCCTCTTCGACCTGTTTGTATCCTCTCCTCTATCCATCTTCTATCCGCCTCCCACTCTCTCCCTATTTATTTCAGAACCCCCTTCCCCTCCCCCTTTTCTGATGAAGGGTCTAGGCCCGAAACGTCAGCCTTTCTGCTCCTATGATGCTGCTTGGCATGCTGTGTTCATCCAGCCCTGCACCTTGTTGTCTCAGATTCTCCAGCATCTGCAGTTCCTACTATCTCATCTTTCAGGTCAATGACTTTTCATCAGAAATGAGAAAGTTATGAATCGTTTTTGAGCTAGTAAAGGGGGAGGCAGTCTGTAGAAGAATAAAAAGTATTTGATAGTGGGATTAAACAACAAATATTTCATGCTGCAAGGCCAAATAAATGGTGTACATGGTGGCTCAATGGTTAGCACTGCTGCCTCATAGTGCCAGGGACCTGGTTTGATTCCAGCCTTGGGTGATTTTCTGTGTGGAGTTTGTGCATTCTCCTTGTGTCTGTGTGTGTTTCCTCCAGGTGCTCCCACAATCCAAAGATGTGTAGGGTAGGTGGACTGGCCATGGGAAATGCAGAGTTACAGGGTAGGGGGTGAGTCTGGGTGGGATGCTGTTTGGAGAGTTGGTATGGACTTGTTGTGCTGAGTGGCCTGTTCCCACACCGTAGGGATTCCATGATCTAAAGGAAATGACAAAGAAACAAGAGGGGGAGGAAAAACAACTCAGCAAGAAACCTGGGACAGAGGTTTTGATACGACATTGTGGGACATACAGTTGAGAAGGCTTTAAAATGCACAGTTAGAAGAGTAACTGCTGACCAAGGACAGAAGGGTAAGAGTGCACATGAGGTGGAGAATTAAAATGATAGCTGACTGGAAGTTCAGGGTCATTTTAGTGGACAGGGTGCTCCCACAGTCTGTGTTTGGACTCTCCATTGTAGAGGAGACTACCTCATAGGCAGCAGATGCAATATACTAAATTTAATTAAACATATTTTCATTTAGAATAAATGTTTCAGACTTGGTTGTTAAGAGGGGAAGATGTTGCACCTCTTGTGCTTGTATAGGAAGATACCAAAGGAAATGGAGGGGATGTTAGGGATAACAAGGTGTTGCAGAAACAATAGTCTCTTTGAAATGGTTTTAATACCAAGTATTTACTTATTCATAACAAGCTTTTTCAAAATATATACATTTAGCATGAATCATGGATACAGACCAGTTAAATCATATCATCTTAATGTGGTCTATAAACATTCCGTCTTTGTTCAGATGGAATGAAGTTAGCATGATAAAGGCCTTTTTTGCAGCTTCTATTCTCTTGCTTTCTGTATCCACCTTCTTCTCTGAAAGTGCAGATTTCTGACAGAGACACTATGCAACACAGCCTCACAGGAACACAGTTAAGGAGCGATTTTACAGCCAATGACCCCTGCTGCCTTGAGGAATAAATCAAGCAGAGTTTGCATATTTTAATGAAAGCAGACAGATTAAATAAACCTGCTTTCAATTATACGTATATGCTCCCAATAAACAAAACAAAAATATATATTCCAAAAAAGAATTTGCAGTTCGCGCTCATGTAGTTCACACAAGTCACCTTCGCTAAAAGATAGATAAAATGAACTTGAGAGAGCTTATGGGGAAAGTGTCAGTGTCTGGTTGGCACCATATCTCTCCCTTGATGCTGTGGAGTACACTTTTACTTAGAAAAGCATAAAGTATACACAATTTTAAAAAAATCTTTTATTGCATTCATAAAACACGGAACAAACCTCCAACGCAGTAATTGCTGTTTTACTACCATCAAACAATTGAGTAAAATTTAATTTAAAATTAAACACACAGCTCCACTTAAATTGGAAAGGTGACCTCTTAACCAAAGCACAAGTCAGAGGAACGTTTTGTGGTAAAAACTAATAGGCTGAGGTCCATTGCTCTGAACAGGAGTAACTTATCGGCAGGGTGCCTGTATAAGGAGGGTAAAAGCACAGATATGGTATTATATTCAATCTGCCTTTCATCTATACAATTTGTCTGTAATCAATTGGAGTAATGGAGGGATGAATCAGATGGTGAAATGCAGAATGTAGTTTTTTTTTGCTGGAAAAGTGATAGAAGGTCTTCCTGCCCCTGAGTCATTTTCATCTGGCCTTTTTGTGGGTCAGGAAGACTTTGGGTATGAAATGCTCATGTGTCCCTTTCAAGGTCCAGTTCTCCATTATGAGCATTCGACAAAATTGTAATTCGTCCCACACACATTTTTTTGTCTGCTGGTGTGGGTTTTGGGAATGTGGTTTGAAATACTTCATAAAGTGCAATTCCTTGGTGAGCTCATGACCAGTGGGGTGAGGCTGCTGAGCATTTGGGAACATTTTGACAGGCAACATTAAAATGTGTTGAAAGATGCAAAGATAAATTAACTCTTACATTGACCATCATTGTGTAAGTTATGTATTACTTTTTAATGCACATTTATCATTGAAGAAAGTGCTATTATGCATTAAAAAGCAAAGGTGCCCTGTCAATGTCTATTTTCATGGCATGTGCTAAGACCTAGCTATTTAAAAAAAAAACAATCTTGAAAGTTGGAAAAATTCTCTGCCCCATACCTCTTCATGGATTGACAGGCATTTCATTTTGAAATATAAATGAGACACCACTCTGTTCTGTTTTTTTCAAGCAGTGTAGCTAAGGACATCTGTTACAACAACTGGAGTGATTATAAATGCTTGGCTGGGTTTCAAAGACTTTTAGTGGTTTTACCTCTACACATTGTTGAAACAAGAATGATTGAAACTATAAGATGCAATAATGACAGATGTACCTTTGATAAGATTTCTTGTTTCCTGACATACCTATTAGGTATTTAAAGGAATACTTAATTTTTTTGTTTTGGAGTAGTTACCTTCAGTATCAATGCAAATGTGTTTGAATTTGGGGTTTATTATATTTTTAGAGGTTAACTTTGCTTCAAATAAATTTAAAGTAATTCTCACTGCCATGGCATGGCCCATGAGCACCGTATATAGTTCATGCAAGGCGTGTGGCTATGAGGATGCATGGGCAATATGAAGGCGGCATGATGAATCTGAAGGGGCATGGGATGGCTTGAAGGGTGCAGGGAGGAAGTGGGAGGTGATGTTTATGGGTCCTTTAAATGTTGCTGGAAGCTGTGCTGCTGTATTGGAAAACTAAGGTGAACATTCAAACTGGGCCACACTCCTCAATCTCTACTGCAATCTGACCTTTTTGTGAAAGACAAAAGTCCTGAGCAAAATCACATGAACTGAATGTGCACTTTGAAACACGCAAAATACACAGGCTGGGTTTTCCCAAGCTCATAGGCATACGTGGACCATGATCTCCCTTTTAAAAATAGAAATGTAATGCTTATTCCACAAATGAGGTTGGCTAAGTTGGGGTGGCACAGTGGCTCAGTGGTTAGCACTGCTGCCTCACAGTGCCAGGGACCCAGGTTCAATTCTACCCTCGGGCGACTGTCTGTGTGGAGTTTGCACATTCTCCCTGTGTCTGCATGGGTTTCCTCCATCAGTCCAAAGATGTGCAGGTTAGGTAGATTGGCCATTCCATAGTGTCCAGGGATGTGCAGGCTAGGTGGGTTAGCCATGGGAAATGCAGGGTTACAGGGATAGGGTGGGTGGGGGGGATGCTCCTAAGAGGGTTAGTATGGACTTGATGGGCTGAATAGCCTGCTTTCATGCTGTGGGGATTCTATGAAGTGAAAAATAATTGTACACCGGTGGGAGTGAGAAAGAAAATTAGAAACATGCATCCCAGAAAGAGATATTCCTTTCCTCTGATCTGTGTTGTAAAGTACAAGGAAAACCATAAGCAAGACCAATCACAGTTTACATGGATAGTCAGTTTGATGCTTAATGTCTTTACCTATGAACTGCATGGCCTATCACTATATGGAACTGTGATTTTTGAACTTAGCTCCTTATTTCTGCTGCTCATGGCCACACCCAACCCAAGCTTTATGAATCTGCCAGACATTGTTATGGCCTAAAATATGACCGTGGGAACACAAAATAGCATGTCTTCTACAGTAACATTTCTACAATTAGGATAGCTCTTAGCAGCTGTCGTTCTTACATTTTATTTAAAGAATAGCCAGCTTAAAAGGAGGTTCATAATGACAACTCCGAAGGTTTCTGGTGTGGGGGTTTCAGTGTTTTGTTTCACTGGGAGGTTAAATTAGTATGGGAAGGCCAGCAAGTATGTACAAGAGTGATGAGACAGAGAGAAAGGTTGTGCATCCATGCATAAGACAGAAACACATTATCTGAGAAAGAATTAATTTGCCCTTGAGTGAGAGACTGGATGAGAGATAACATGCACATGAGAGAGCAAAAGTGTGAGAAAGGAATTTATGTGTGTCAGTCAGAGTGACTGCATACATCAAAGGCAGCATATGAGAGATAAAATGCAAGGGAGAAAGATAATGAAGGAGTGAGAAAACGTTTGTACAGGACTGACTGACTGAGGTGTTATGTATAGATATGTTGGGACCTAGTCCGGTTGATTCGCCCATTGACTTTGTACAATAGATTTCTGAGTGATAACTCAGAACTGTTGTGTGCAGATATGTCTTTAAGAGTTTCCTGGGTGAACTGTCAGTGATAGTTGGGGAAGGTTAATTCGATTGACAATCTGTAAAAGCAGACTATTGCTTGTAACTTACCAAACACAGCAGTCAGGGCAATACACATTACTACGACCAACAAGTGTTTGTATTTATTGCTGAAGCACATTGAAAATCAGCTCTTGAAATGATAGTTCATGTAACTGAAAGCACTAGTGCTGTTCCATTTACCTTTCATTACAAAATCATCAATGTTCAGGACATGACACTCAAATACTGATTGAAACTACTCAATCTTCTGATATTTCATTCTCAGCATTTTCATGTTCAATAATATTTAGTGCTAAAGTCAATTTTATTTGCTGGAAGGGAATGGAATTTTCTGCAAATTATGTTACAAACTCTATGCATTAAAAAACTCAGATCCAGAGGAAAGGAATTAAGTAACAAACACAAGCACTGAAAAACAGTCGCAGAACATTATTTACCAACACGATATGTTTATAATGCTGTAATAGAGATGATAACTCAACGTGGGAGAATCATTGCATAGTAACTTTTGTGTTCTGTTTAATATTTAATCTTTTAAAAGCTAATAAAAAGGGCCATTCGGAATACCCTAGCACCAATTTTCCAAGCACATGTTTTAAATTTCAATGTATTGCTTTATATGTGAACTGGCTGACAGATACACAAACAAAGATAGCATGTTGTACATTATTTCAGAGCATTGACATGAAGACCAATGTGAGTAGCTGAAGGTTAGAACAATATTGTACACCTCAAGGGGTTGCAAAAGAGACTTGCTGGCAAACTGTCCATCACCCAAACTTCTCCAGGCAACGAATGCTTCACCACCACTGTTACTTCATGAAGAATGATCATTTAAACAAACAAGGCAGCAGCAGTTCAATCTCCCCATCTAATCAGCTTGTTCATACAAAAATGCAAATTAGAAGCTAGAGTAGGCCACGAGGTCCTTTGAGCCTGCTCCACCATTCAATGAGATCATGGCTGTTCCGATTTTAATCTCAACTCTACATTCCTGTCGACCCCTAATAACCTTTCAGCACTCTGCTTTATCAAGAATCTTTCTCCCCCTGCCTTAAAGATTTCTAAAGATTCTGCCTCTACCACCTCTTAAGTTTGTTCAGTCCTTTGTTTGCTTTTAAAGAGTATCTGGGTAATATTGGCAATGCCAACAATTGATTGGTTATTATTCTAGGGCCAGAATTAAACCCTAGTAGCATTTTCTTTGATACAATATGTCACCATTTTTCAATAGTGAGGCATTTCTGTGCAGAAATCACAAAGCAATATTTGCGTAGAACTGTACATGTCCATCATTCAAAGTGTGTCTGAGCATGCAGAATGATGGAAATTGAGAGGTACGTTTCCATGTTTAACATTTCCCCAAAAATGGTATGGAGATATTGGCAGAGAAGGGTTTTTGTTTGCTTGATATGGATCAAGACTCCTTATAGAAAATTATGTTGCTTGCCCAAGCCCAAAGAGATCAACAACAGTTTCTTTTACCAACTTTGTGAGAAGTCAACTTGTCTTTTGCAGATGCAGAATAGTGCCTGGATATTGAGAGAAGACAAGAAGAGGGAACCACTGAAATACAGCAAGAGGATCATCTCAGTGACACATCTGTAGAGTGAAGTAGCTGATAGAGGACATGGTGCTTGATCTTGATCCTGACTGTACAGATATTCCCAAAATGGGCTGAACTAGTAGCTCATGTGATTGAGTGTCTGGTAATCGAGTGCAATATTGGGAAACGTGTTTACTCAAACTGAATGTGACGTGTAAGCAATAGTCTTCATGTAGAACAAAAACACAGTAAACTGTGTGCACTCCAAAATATTCACCATTACCTTGTCATTAGTGTTCCTCAAGACTGTGCAGAGTTATATTTCTATACCTTGGGCACACACACCATCTCTTTACCAAATTTCTCATTGCATGAGAAATGAACAATGGATGAGTAAAATATTCTCTTAGGACCCACGTAACTTCTAGTCTGCATCAGTTTGCCTCTCACTCTCTGATGTCAAAAAAGTGACTTCAGCCTCGGAACACATTATGGAATATCTCTGTTTTAATCATCTGTAATTTGTATGTTTTAATTTGCAGCTTTACGTTTAGTTCCATTTTCTCTGAGCTTCACACTGCTTCCACTGATTGGAACCATGGCAATGTTATATGACAGGAAGAATTGTTCCTACTGTCAGCTGACAGGAAGAGGGTTTTGACTGACATATTATACCCTGTTTCTGTTTTGCAGAATTCCTAGAATGAGGGCTGAATTATAGAATATATTCCTACATGATCATGACTACTTCATGTTTGATTGATTTGCCATTCGAATATATTGAATCAAAAATAAAAAGGGGTCCAATAATTGTGGAAATTATTACTTATATGTTAAGGGGTAGGTACTCATCTTGGGTGATGGTGATGGAAATGGATGACATTGGATCAGGTGCCCATTAATCCTAGAGCTTAATACTCAATGAATTAACACCAACTACTGAATGTAACAGGCTGTTCCAATAATTCCTCTTCTTGCATCACTGCTTAAGACAAATTACTACCCCTTAATTTTTCTATCTCCCCAAATCTAATTTGTCAAATGTCTCCAGATACCCATTGGCCCCATCTCTCATCACAGCCCTGAACTCATGCCTTACCTTAAACTCAACCAGTACCAACTCAATTTTTACTTCTCAGGTCCCCACAAATACATTTATCCAAATGCAATTCTAATAAAAACCTAAGGCAGGAATTAACTGAAAACCTTAAGGTCCCTAGTTTATTACATTACCACTATTCCCCCAGATAAGGTTGGAGATAGCAATATTTAACTTAAAATGCGTAGAATTTATTGTTGGTGGTACATGTAATGGGCATTTCCACGCAGACTGGAAAGTCACATACTGTACTCAAGGTACCTACTGTTAACACAAAGGCTTCTGTCTGAGTCAGCTGACTTGAATCAGTGATTGGACAGCGAATAAGACAGAGCAAAGTACAAAAATAAGATACACCACCTTGACAAGAAAGAAGTAAGGACTAACTGCCACACCCAGTTCGGATAACAACACATCATGTAAATGAAATGTTTTGATGAGATTGCCCTTCAAATCCAAACACTGTTAAAGTGAATGAGACAATCTGAATTTAATCAGTCCATTGTTTGATGGTGGAAAGCACATGGTTCATACAGATGAATAAGTGTTTATTACACGTATAGACTGAAACACCAGGTGTGTTGACTGAAGCACAAACCCTGAGAAATTGGCAGCACCCACATTCCTTCCTGTTAATGTGACTTACCAGTGATCTTCAGTAATGATTATGGAACATGATCAGTCGACCACTGAAGATCTGAAACAAACAGGCATTGTGTGAAAGAGTGTAACAACCATTTTGCGGTTTTCAGGTGTGGTAACATTTTCACTGGTTCAGCATCAGGGGTCGGCCATTAGTCGGTCACAAGTAGAGGAAATTATTTCGTTGTGGATCTGACAGAAAAGATAATATTTGCAGGGTGTCCAAGGGCTTTAGTGATGGAAACATAGGAATTGATCATCTCACAAAGTGTTTTAATGTAAAATATGTAATCTGCCTAGATGGACAGAAATAGTAGAAAATGGCAATGGAGGGAATGTTTAAAAAAAACCTTGCCCAAATGAAAAAAGTGGGAAGAAAGAAGCGTGAAGAAAATAAGGGTGCAATGTATAGCAACATTGTCCAAACAACAATGTTTCTGCCACTCACAATATCTGAATCAACTGATTCAGAATATCAGACCATCTGAGTCAATGACACGCAATTCAGAACCAACATTTTCTCTGCTTCATCCTGGACTAGCAACTCAGGAAAACAGAACGATGTTGATTGTTGGGCATAGAGTTCCCGCCCCAAGCAGTCTCATTTGGTTATGTCCTTTAAAAATGTGATGCTTTAGTCCTCACCTGAAATCTGTATTTTTTGTATTTTAATGCATAGTGAGTGCATTGACATTTGAAAGATGACCAACCATCATAGTTGGTATTTAATGAAATCAAATACAACACAGCATCAACTTTACTGATTTATCAACAAATAATTGTCGATCATTGTCATTCACTTATGTATTTGCTATCCCCTGTTATGATCATGAATCTCGGTAACGCAATCATTGTATTGCTGTTCAAGCGTGGGGTGGTGTGGTGGAATGCCTTCAGATGTAAAATATTAACCATGGGAGTGCCATCCCTGCATTCTCTATGGTTACCTTGAAATTTTATATGGAAGGACTGAAATTAACTTTGCACTGCCTTTAAGCAGGAACAGTTGAGAAATGATTCGACAGTGTCTCACATCTGTCATGTCATGCTCAGTGTTTGTGAAGTAGTCTGATCTTTAAGCAGTACACACCAGATATACAATACCATGCTGTGGAGAACACTGTGTAGCTTTCGCTAAGTATTGTGGTCAGTTGACCATGAATGTACAGATACTCAGTAATGGTACAGTGTTAAGCGTATGAACTAGGTTCTATGTCCAAATATATTATATTGTATCTGATGTATACAAATGTCATGAAGTGTAACAACATGGGACATAACAGTGCCAAGACACAAATGTCTTGAATTAGATTATTTATTTCGATGTGTATGTGTTTGCGTTTGTCAAACTCACAGTTTTAATGGGAAACAGAAACATTGTACACTGACAATCTGTTTTTGCGATAGACTGTTTAAATAAACACAAGTTAAGTGAATATATCCATTAAAGTGACAAGATATTGTAAACCTGGAGCACTTTTGTCTCTATTCCCATTGCATTCATACCTGTCAACTGAACCATTTTAACCATTAAAGGAATCGAAAGGCTTTTCATTTGTTTTCTTTCCCTTGATTATTTTGTATGTTTACAATCTGAATTGCGGACACATTCTGCATTATGTCTTGTACATCAGTTCCAACTTAATTTTTCCCCAGGACCTTTAGACAGTTAAGTACCTGTACTTTCTCCCCAGGTCCTTAGTGACTCCTACCTCCTATAATGTACAGACCTACAAAACCCAGAGCTATCATCACTTAACATCACTTGTTGAATTATCCCTTCTTCTATTGTGTCTTTTTGGAACTTGCTCTCCCCTCACACATTCGTCCTCAGTTGCAAGAAGAAACTAGTCGTTCTCTTTCTCTTGTCCTTACAGCCTCACCCACAAAATAATTGTATGAAAACTTCTCCACTTCAGTGGGTTTTCATTACAGTGTTAATTATAAGCAATTTATATTAGAAAATGTGAGAGAAATAGTGGATCAAGTAAAATTCTTCTTAGTATTTTACATTGAAAACTTGGTTTAGCTATTTCAGTACCAGTAACCAGGTTATTTATTATCCAGATTCAGGTTCCTATTTTGGTTTATTATTTATGTTCCAATAGATGATGGATTAAAGTATGTGGACACTATGGATTTTAGGCCCCTAATGCTTTATCTAATCCCCTTCCATTTTATTTGTATGAGTTTATTCAGGAGTTACATGCAGAAAAAGACATAATAGGTGGAAAGTTCATAGTGATGCAAACTTATAGAGGCCTACCTTCAGGAAGGGCATTAGTCGACTGGTTGCCCTCTGTCCAGTTGGTGTGGATTGCTGTATTGAAACAGAACATCCTCAGTGGGCACTGGAAGAACTTGAAAGGACATTAACCTGACATCACACTACTGACCAACTGATGCAACTGCTAGCAAGCTGGCAGTGGTGAGAAGGTAGCAGCGATGGGAAGCTGGCATTGGTGGGAAGGTGGCAGCGATGGGAAGCTGGAAGTAGTGGGAAGCTGGCTTTGGTGGGAAGCTGGCAGTGATGGGAAGCAGGAAGTAGTGGGAAGGTGGCAGTGGTGGGAAGGTGGCAGCGATGGGAAGCTGGCAGTGGTGGGAAGGTGGCAGCG